TCCCCTTATTACTTTCCTCATGTCCTCCTGTATCACTGTGTCAATTTAGGTACTGATTTGGTGGTTTTCCGAAATTCATATGAAGTTAGATGGGGGTCCAACCCCTTATTACCTTCCTCATGTCATCCTGTATCATCGTGTCAAGTTAGGGGCTGATTTGGTGTTTTTTCCGAAATTAGATGGGGGTCCAAACCCCCTCGTGACCTTCCTTATGTTATTTTGTATCACTGTGTCAAGGTAGGTGCTGACTGATCAAGAAATGTGGAAACGTATAAGGAACAGATACACATACATATTGACGTTTATTTATATAGATTGAAACTAGACAGTCTATGATGCCAGTCTTTAACTGTAAGAATGGTTTGATTTATTTAATCAGTGGATTTCGGGTAAACTTCAGTTATGTGTCATGGTAACCAGCTCGTCCAGATATGCGAAATTGTTATCTTTTGCTTCCGCTGTAAACTATAGCGATGAATTTCGTCTATTCAGGTGGTTCATGAATTTATGAATCTTTAGAATGTGGCTAAATCTGAGACACATCGTGTGACTTCTGAATTTTCTGAATGTTCCAGGTAAAAGTTACGGACTACTGGTGATATGGTGAGCACACGGCCTAGTCTTTCTTGTTCTTAGTAGTATTTACCTTCATGTTAGAGGTATGATGTTTTAACACAGAGAGTTTGAGTTCTGTTACTATAGATATTTTCATGTGGGTGTGTTTCTTGAGATTTCTATCGTTTTCAAACTTTTGACGGAGTATTTTTATGGTGTCAAAGGATGGTACGTTGGTGGCTAAATCGAATTTTGTCTTTTGAGGTAGGTTATCGTGGCTACTTTTATAATCTGTACAAAGTGAACTAAGTTCTTCACACGTGGTTATGTTCTCCCCGTTAATAATGATATTATATCTACAAGAATAAGGTGATCGTAAAGGCAACTAAACATGACAGGGATTACAGTTCGTTTTTTTTTCTTGCATTTTTATGAAAAATTCAACTTGATTTTAGAGCAAAGTCATATTGGGAATCAAACTTGGGATTTTAGCGTTGTAAGTTCGTAAACTTACCACTACCCCCCGTGAAAAGTATATTAAGGACACTAAGTGTTAAAGAATTAGAATTACTTTAGTACCGTGTTTGTAATCAGAACGTTCCATTAATACATCTAATCCTACTTTTCTATATAACGGATTTCACGCTAACTTTAAAATCAGCAAAGTTTATTAAAATTAGTGTAAGATATTTAAAACGTAAGGTTTTTAAAATATCATGCTCTGATTAAAATATATCTGTTATACGATGATTCTCAGAAGATGCTGATAATCATAATTTTCATTGCCTATTTCGCAGTCGTACATTATTTTTCAATACTGTGACATACTCGTTGGGATTCGACTAATGAATCTTGATCGGTGTGATTAAGAAATCTGAGTTCGAGATCAGACTTGAATACGGAGAACATAAAATAAACAATTACTGAATGTACTTATAAAATTACATTACCTTTACATTGTTTGTCAAATATTTACGAACTCTAAACCATATAGTAAATATTATATTTTTTATGGCTTGGTTAGTGTAACTTAACCCAAAAATATTTCAATGAACTTTTAACAATCAACACAAACTACATTTCTTTTCGTGAAGATATTAAAACTTTGGTGTTTGTATAAACGTTTCTATAACTCCAGCCTGAAGTAATTTATTCACTGAATAACACTGAAAAAACAAACAAACGTAACTAATAAAGGTTGTCGTTATATGACGTTTCTAGTTTATCTGTTTCGTTCTCTATAAATCAAGATATGTATAAGACTAACAGTAGCCGTATGCCTAATTATTCATGCCTCGATGTCTTTACATCTTCATGCAAACCAATAACTTCTAACGAGCTAGGATATAAACTTAGGAGTGAATACATGCGAATAAGACGAATTTATTTAGAGAGCACTGAGGCATGATAACGTTATCTTGGATACCAGGGGCGAAACTCGCGTCCTATATTTGCAGTGATAATGAAATGGAAGAAGGAGTTTCTACACGAATTTCGAATGTATATTTTTAGAGGTATTTGGTTCATATTGTGAGACATCAAACATCAAAAGAACAGATACCGAAAATATTTTTCCTTAAATATTTGTAGACGATATGCAACAGAGCAGGTTTTCAGGTCTGCCTTTTTGCCATGTGTTTAAAGTATGATGAAGTCTCAAAGTTTGTTGAGGACAAAGAGGTTTAAGATTAGATGAAAATAAGAATTCTTAAAAAAATTAATAAAAGGAGACCTATTACTCCAGAAAACATAAATAGTTTTAATTAAGCCAACAAGTCACTTGGTAAATGATTTTCTATAAGCCTATATCAGTATCTTGTTTGCCTCAATGAAGCGGTAATGGAGAAACGTTGGCTAAAATAAAACCAATTACGTTTTTATGGAGTGACAGGTCATGCATGTTTTACTTATCTTTTTAACAATAAATACGGCTCTCCAGCATGCACTACAAACCTTAAATTCGAATAAAAGTAAGAATTCTTCAAAACTAAATTTTTAATGGGAAAAATTAAAATTTTCAAGTTAAGAACAACTTATTTCTTCGATAAAAAAATCAATTTCTTATGACTTGTCAATAAAGTATATAAATAGCTTGTATTAATACCCTTGATTATTAAATCTAGGTATATATGCAGTAAACATATTTTAAAATTCATTCAACTTGCACCTGATTAAAAATTTGCACTAAGTCAAATGAAAATACTCCCTCCCCCAGTGGCACAGCGATATGTCTGCGGACTTACAACGGCCGAAACCGGGTTTCGATACCCCAGATAGCCCATTGTGTAGCTTTGTACAAGCCAACAATCGGATTTCAAAATAGTCCAGAAATTACTTCTACCATTCTCACAACTGATTAGCTAGGCAGGATCTATGGCAGAAGTTACTTCTACCATTCTCACAACTGATTAGCTAGGCAGGATCTATGGCAGAAGTTACTTCTACCATTCTCACAACTGATTAGCTAGGCAGGATCTATGGCAGAAGTTACTTCTACCATTCTCACAACTGATTAGCTAGGCAGGATCTGTGGGAATATAAAATTTTATCCATAAGAAAGGTAATTTAGTCATTTTCAAAGTGAGTTCTCGACGGGGAAAAGTGCACGTCTTAGGAAAGAATTCGATAAAAGCGTCTGCCAGTTTTCCGAAAGATTAAGTCAGAGAAATAAGTTACTTTTTCCGTTCTTTTAAAGGAATTTACAAAGCATATCAAATCCAATAGTTATAACTTTGGATATTCTGTAAACTAGTTGCACGTTCTCTTTAACTTATAGTTTTTTTTCTCTTGATCTGTAAGTGACAATAACGTGAGGCATTGCATTAAAATTCCGATAAACCAAGTTTGTCAGACCCTTTCGATTCAGTAATGTATAATTAGTCGTCAGATAGTTTATAAAACATTTAACTCTTTAAACACGTGGTAAAAGTTCAATAAAAAATCATTAAACCATGTGTTCCAGTTCTTAAATTGCCTTTGAACCACTGAAACTAATCTGCAGTAGGCCTACTTATCAATCTGCTGTTCAGGCTACTGTAAAGCGCTCTCCTGAAAATTGATTCTTAATTAGCAGCAAAAAAGTAAATCTGATTGCATGAGGAAGTTTCCAAGGTATGTGCTGACACTGAAATAAGCTACAAAATAATCTTTGTTTAGTATCAGACTAAACTGTTTTTCTGTCCACGTGACAAGTCAGTCGAAAAATCTAAGAAACTTTGAGATCGTTACGGTTCTTGGCTTAAAACATCGCCCAAAAAGAAGCATTTGAAACTGTCAAATTTTTAGAAGGCAGAACAATTTAATTTTCTGTCTGACATTATATTTTCTGTTCTGTTATATTCCAACAAACAATAAAAAACTAATGTGTTAGTTATTAGACGATATAACTCGTTTATGTTTTCAAGCTATAAAAACTGCGCGATCTATTCCCATTAAAGTTGTCTTCTTCACATATCATACACAAGGAAATAGGAGACGCATAATATATTATTTCAAGTTCGAAATAAACGTCCAACGTTGTAAAATGCTATCTTCAGTAATTATAAATGTTTAATATCTGTTTGTGATAATGACAGTTACAACAGATTTGAAAACATTTTCAGTGCTAACATGTTGAAAAACTGAGATTCTATTACGTGCGTTGAAACTAGCATAATAGACCTCTTTGCCGAAAGTTTCTTCAGCATTTCTGCAACAACTGAGTTTAAGCGCTTTCAGTACTTTCAGGTAACAGAAGAAAATGTTGAACGTTTGAACTAAAATGTTATTTTAATATTTTTCATTAATCGCTAATACAAATGAGTTACCAAATCAAAAAAGGTCAGAGTTTCGCGTAAATCCGTTCCTAATCATGAAGTGATAAACTAGTGGAAAAGCAGCTAATCAAACGGACCCCCCCCCCCCAACTCTTGGGTTACTCTTCTTTGATCGAATAGCTGGGATCCTAACAACTAAGCCTAGGCAACGTCCGGCTCAGCAGATAAGAAGAAATAGTAATATTTTGCCACATGTGCATTAATCCCAATTACAGACGATAACAAACCAGCCTTACCGTGGGTTTGAGACGCTGTCTTCACCTGTTTGTGTTCCAATGAAGTCTTCTTTCGTTAGTAGTTTGTACATTGTAGTATTGAAATTTGTAGTGGATTACTTCTGTTATTTATTTTATTTTACTTTGGAATGAGAAATACGTTTCGGTTACAATACTGAGGCAACAGCTTAGAGCCCAAAACAATACCTCATTTAAGAAACAAAGCAGTAGAAGTTCATTACAAATTCCAACTTGTTTAAGCCCTCTGATGAGATTAGACTCAGTTGGGAAGTACTAATGTTAATAGAAATCCTTCAACTATAGGATAAACTCTGACTGGAAATTAGGAGCTCATTTTAACTAAACTACCTAACGTGTTGATAATATAAATCAGAATGATTACTCTAGAACTTACCCGATAGAAATAGAAGTACTCAAAATCATTTTTATCTTCGTCAGAGGTCCAGTTTTTAAAGTCTGTAAAGTTTGAAACAGAATCAAAAATGTTTGAATATTCTAGGAGATGTAGGGAAATGTTATAATCTGGAAAGTCCATGATTTCGTTGACAATCTGATGATCCTTTTCACGGACATGCATTTGACTTCAATCTATTGGAATGATTATATTAACAGTATATCAAAGAAGAGAAAAACTATTAATAAAGTTAAATTTTACCTTCCACCAAGAAACAGTCTAGTGTTTTATAATATAAAACCTCAACTTTCGTCCTTCCTTTCTTTACTTACGCCCAAGAAATGTGGATCATGCTGTAAATGATTCCTCCACATCACCTTGTCTTTGAAAGAACGCAGGGATATGTTTCACAGTTGCTCATATTAAGGATGCTCTTGTCGTGACGTAATACCTAAGCTTCTTCCCAGTTGGTTCTCCCATCTTGTATAGAATACAAGACGAGAACGATCGTCACAAAACAACACATGAAGTCGTAGAATGTTATTCAAATGGTACGGGCCTCTTATGCACACCTGACGACAGCAGCTACAATTTTGTAGGATAGAGAGTACTGTCAGTCATGTGATATTCATATTTTTATCCAAAAACTAACAGGCTGACCATTATATAAAAATAGGTTAGACAGACAGTTAGATAACCTAGACAAGTTGATAGAATGGACACAAACAGAAATACAGTGCTGATGATGCCAATATCTTATAAAAACGATGCTAATACATGATGTAATAATGATCATTATTACATGATAAAAAATATCAAGATTCCCCTTTAAATATCTCGAATCTTATTTCTGTCGTAAACAAACTTGCTTTGACGACATATTCTAACTTAATTGGGGGATTTTAAAAGAAATCGTGCGCCACAATGGATATCCTTAGGCTCTAAAATTGCATTTAAACATTAGAGCAAGCAAACATGACTAGCTAATGTAGTCTAAAGATAATTAAAGTAATGTAATAACCTAAAATATTACTCCCAATATTTTAAATAAGAATCAATATTGCTCTGTAAAAGTCTTGAAAACCTAAATTCAACATTTTCTACTAAGTAAAGATTTACTTATATATTTTGAAAATTTTTCTACAGAATAGATCTCACCAAAGACGAACCAATGGCTAAAAATATCACATGCACAACAAGATTCAGTGCAGTATGTAAAAATACTATCATGAACGAGAAAGTGTCTTTTTTACTTATTTTTTTCGGATATTTTACTTAAATTCTCTAGAAAAAACCCGTCGCTAATTCGGCAAAATTCCACATAGTACATATGTCCTTCTTTAGTTAGCGTTCAGATTTGCTTCCTTCATCATGATTTTATCTATTTTGTTACCAAAACTCAATGAATAACGCACAAGTCTAATTACATTCGTGCCCCTTGGTGACTCGGCGGTAAGTATGAAGGCTTATAACACAAAATATCGGGTTTCGATACCCGTGATGGGCAGAGCACAGATAGCCCATTGTGTAGCTTTGTGCTTAAAAACAGACAAACACTGCCCCTTGGTGGCTCAGCGGTAAGTTTGAAGGCTTATAACACTAAATATCAGATTTCGATACCCGTAGTGTGGGAGAGTGCAACTTTGTGCTTAAAAACAAACAAACATGTTAAATTCGTTAACGTTACGGAGTTCCTGTAAGTGTTTTTTAATAACTGTGTGCTGTTTATGTGTTTTTCAAGTGATAAATAGCCTCTTTCAGTTTCAGGATCTTTGCACTACTAACTTCATTATTTCGATCATGCATCTTTCTTTAAGAGTGTCATGGCAGAATCATTTCTGTCTTTTCATTTTCAACGTTTTCGCTAGATACAAAAGATAAATATTTAAGTTTTATAAAAAAAATCATAATGAGATTCAGTAATAAAATGTACAAGAATATATAAGCTCATGTTCTACTTAGTTTGTATTTTAGAATTAAGATCCGTTTTCTGGATTTATTTTTATATTCATATGCACGATTTTAAATCAATCTTTGCTAAGTTGCTTCATATGATGATATTACTAAAGTTGATTTACGAATCTCATAAATATTAATTAATTTCCTACATTTACATAATCTTGGAAGTTTGTCTTTTTACTTTTCAACTTGATCTGTATTCATGACGAAAGCATAAAATTTCGGGCAAGCTTAAGACTATTTTCTTACTAATATATATATGATGATGGTACTTTCTAACGAAAACAGTTAACTTTTTTTTAGTACGTGTCGGTATTGTTCTCACAATGAGTAACTAACTTAGGATAAGGATACAATATCATGATAACGAAGAACAACATTACAGACACAAAGTTTTATCACCGTTTAATAATATTTCAATTAAACTTTTAAATGCCAGAAAAACTCAACGAAAAATTGGATATGCCATTAGGCATTATGAATAAACGAAGAACTGCCAAACTTGGCATTGTTGGTGATAAATAATTATATAAATAGATAGATACAGGTGGTTAAAGGACATGGGTTCGTGAGGCTAATGGATAGATATTGTGGTTAAATAGATGATGGACAAGTAATCAAGTGTGTTTGTTGTAATGAAAAACCACAATAAGCTGTCTGGTGAGCCCACCATGGGTTATCGAGCCCCGGATTTTAGCGTTGTAAGTCCATAAACTTACTGTTGTTCCGCCGGGGGACAATTAGTTGTGATAGAAAGAAGGGAATGATTGGCTAGAAAATGGGGTGGATGGTAAGATAAAGAAATTAAAGAATAAAATGACGAGTGAGTAAAAAATATGGAACAGAATGAACAAGTTGGTGAATATATATTAGGGAAATTAAATAGACGAATTACTATATAAATGGGCGGATTGAAGAGTGCGTATTATGGACAGATAAAAGTGTGTAAACAAGTAAGAGATGATTGGTAGGGCTAAATGTTATAGAAAAGAAGGGATGGAAAGACAAACAAGTAAGTTTGAAGGCTCGAAAATATGGACATGTATTGGTGAGTAAGATCTATAAAATCAATAAATAGAGAAGTGAACGAATGAGTGAGCTGGTGGATGAGAAGTTGGGTGACTAGATAGAAAAACGAAGGTATGAAAAGAACTTTGGTAAATAGATAGAAAGAAAGAGAAAAGAAAGCAAAGGAGGGATAGGTGAACGGACAAAATGAAAATAGAGAAGTAATTGGTTGCTGGGTAGAACAGATAAGATAAAAAAAAATAGAATTCTGTTCTGTTGTTCAGTAAACAATATAATGTGCGTGGGCTAATAAATAATTACAGGGGTTCGTGTAAAGATATAAGATAAATAGGAGAATGGTACATAAAAATATATTGAAATACGAATGAATTAATAAAAGTGGATATCTGAGTTGAGGAGATGAAAGGATGCGTAAAGATAAATGAACGAGGAAAGGATAAAGGAAGATTGGATAAGATAAGTGGGTAGAGAAAGTAATGTCGTGCATTAAATGTATGAGTGATCAAACTGACTTGGTCAATTAAAGCTTGATAAACGAGTCAGCAAATGTGTGAATAACTAGTAAACTGAATAGATATTGAATTAATTTGCGCTTGAATGATCATTGAGAAAAGATATAGAAATTAAGGATAAGATAGAGTGTGTAGCTATTTCAAAAATAATGTATGAACAATTACCTGGGCGAGAGAGCAGAAGTAATTAACAGATTAAGTTTATTTATTTTCAATTTCGCGCAAAGCTACACGAGAGATATCTGCGCTAGCCGTCCCTAATTCCGCAGTGGAAGACTAGAAGGAAGGCAGGTAGTCATCACCACCCACCACCAACTCTTCGGCTACTCTTTTACCAACAGATAGTGTGATTGATCGTCATATTATAATACCTCCACGGCTGAAAGGGCGAGCAAGTTTGATGGGAAGGGGATTCGAACCCGCGCCTCTCAGATTGCGATCGAGCGCCCTAAGCACCTTGCCATGCCGGGCCAAAGCAGATTAAGAAAATCAGACAGAGGTGGACGATTTAGAGGCCAGGTTGTTCAAATAAGAAACCTTATTATTATATACAATAAAAAATGGTGAATGAATGTAATTAAGCACAAAGCTACACAATGGGCTATCTGTGCTCTGCCCACCACGGGTATCGAAACCCGGTTTCTAGCATTGTAAGTCCGCAGACGTACCGCTGTGCCACTGGGGGGCCAGACGAATAGAAACAAATG